ATTAAATACTTACTAATCTATCAAATAATTAATAAATATAATGTAAATTTGCCAACTAATTAATTAATATAATTATACAAAAATAAATATAATAATAATTAATCAATGAATTAATTAATATAATGTAAATTTACCTGCTAATTAGTTAATAAATATAATCATAATTTACCAATAAAAAATGAAAATAACAAAATAAATTAAATACTTACTAATCTATCAAATAATTAATAAATATAATGTAAATTCACCTACTAATTAGTTAATCAATATAATTATAATTTATAAATCAATTAAATAATATAATAATAGTAATTTATCAATCAATTAAACAATTTAATCATAATTTACTAATTAATTAATTAAAATAAGCATAGTTTACCAATTAATTAAACAATATAATCATAATTTATCAATCAATTAATTAATCAATATGATTATAATTTATCATTCAATAATTAATATTATAATTTTTTCCTAAAATAAATTTCAAAATAAAAATTTAGCAAAAAATTAAAACATACTTATAAAAATTGAGACTTGTAATTCAACTAAATCAAAGTGAAATTAAAAATTTGAATATGATGACGAACCTAAAAAAATACAAAAAAAGAAAAAAAATTAATGAATTGAGAAAGGTAAAATACATACAAATAAAAATATAAATTATAACAGCTAATTTGTAAAAAGTAGAACAATATATCAACAAATTCACATAAAAAAGTTATATTTTTAGATAAATATTAATTATATAAATAAAAAATAAAAATAACAAATAAATTAAATACTTATAAATCAATCAAGTAGAATAATAGATTGACACACAAAGAAAATGGAGACAATTAGTGGTTGAAGCTCACATTGGTTAAAACTGAATTATTCTGCAAAATGAAGAAAAATAGTGAGGAAAAAGAAAGAAAAAATGGGGAAAAAATAAGTTTAAATATCATTTTGGTCCCTCAATTTTTTACTTTGGCACCAAAATTATCCTCAAACTTTAAAAAGTATCAAAATTATCTTTAAACTGTCATTTTCGATACCAAAATAGTCTTTTCGTCAATCAATGGACAAGTGGCACGTTAAATTGCCACAAAATCACTTAATTTCTTAAATGTTAATGACGTGGAAATCCAACAAGGAAAACTCACATTTTTTTAATCAATTAATACATTAAAAAATTAAAATTACTTAAATGCCCTCATCCTCATCCTTCAACCTTTCTTTCTTCTCTTTCTCCTGCACCTCCTCCAAGCTCCAAGCAAACCAGCAACTTCAAAAAATCTAGCAGCTCAAAAAAAAAAAAAAAAAAAGGAATGGTAAACCCAGATTTTTATGCCTTAATCTCTATAAAAAAACAAAATTTTTATGTTGAAAGCTTCAATTTTCCTTGGATCTATAAAAAAAATTGTGAACCAATTTGACAAAATCTTGTCTCCCTCAACCTCAAGAACCTTCCCCTCTGCAACAATCATTCTCCTTCCTCAGATCTGTAAAAAACCCAAAATTTTTATATTGAAAACTTCAATTTTCCTTCCTTCGATTTTGTAACCTCTTGTTTATCAATTCCATAATTAAAGACTTTTCCATCCAAATTAGAAAAAAAAAAAATGATCTCTACTCTGCTCAAATTCTGCTCTGCAAACTTTGAATCTTGTACTGGAGCTTGTGTCTTCTTCTTCATCGCCAGATCTGGGTTTGAGAAAAAAACCCAGGTCTGGTTTTGAGAAAATCATTTAATTCCATGAGACAACTTGCACATTACATGAGACAAGGGAGGGAATATGAGAAAAGGCTCTAGAATATTCATACTACAGTAATTACTGAAATTCATCATTTCAAACTGATAAAAATTATATCACAATAACCATTTCATTGCATCCAAACCAAGAAAAATTCAAGATCCAAAAACAAATTATCCGCAGGCAAATTAAATCAAGTTGAAGTCGACATCATCTAAAATTAATTGAAAAGGAAATTAGAAAGAAAAAAACCTGTTTGGCGAGAAGTTCTCTCTCAAAGTTGCCAATAGCAAAGAAAGAAGAGTCAGGACCAAAACGTTGGCGAATGGAGGTCCAGTGGGGAAACGACAAGTCGGTTTTGGAGTCCGATACCATAACCACGACCTGGTGTTGTTGGTACAAACAAAGAAGCGAGATGTCGATTTCGAGTTTGAAAGGAACGCTGACCAGATTTAATAGAAGATGAAAAGCTTCAGTAATTACCTAGCAACTTCCCCCGCAGCAACATACAGTAGATCCCAAGTTCTTAGTGGCGAGGGGAGTCACGATTGACACTTAGGGCTACCACGGATAGACCACTGCCTGTACCCACAACCACTCCCCACCGCACACAGTGTCGATTGAGGCGAACTAGACAGACGCAAACCCTGAAAATCAAGAAAAGAAGCAAGGTAAGCACCCAAATCAAAACTCACTCAAGAAGTGAAAAAATCTCCTATTTTGAACAAACCTTGGATCTCCACGGAGAGCGAGAACTTTCTGGATGCCATTGGACTTGACAGTCCCAAGCGCGTGGTCGATCTTCATTTTCTTATCATCACTAACTTCTTCAGATTATTAATTTATGTGATGAAACCCAGATCTGGGTTTGCAGAGGTAAGGGAAAGGAAAAGTAAAGGAGAGAGAAAGTGAAAGAGGAAGAAGAGGTGACGTGCATGGAAAAAAAATATCATTATTTTTAAATTAAATAAAATGTTAACTCATAAAAAAATGTCATGTCATTAGTTAAGAAAGAAAAGAATTGATTTGTTGGTAAATTAATATCACATTAATTGACAGAAAGAATGTTTTAGTATAAAAACAAAAATTTAAGGATAATTTTGATATTTTTTTAAAGTTAAAAGATAATTTTAATGTCAAAGTGAAAAATTAAAGGACTAAAATGGTATTTAAACAAAAAAAAATTAGATCCTACCTAATCATACTTCAATCGGGTTTCAACACTCATAAAATATCCTTCAATGGCTACCCAAATCAATAGCAATGCATGGTTGTAGGTGGGTAAGGCAAAAAAGAACTGAAAGAAAATTGAGGATAGTTTCTGATAAGGAAAGAGAGAAGACACGATGCATGAAGGAGGATAAGGGATATTTCGATCAAGCATCTTGACTATATAATGTGGCAACATGATAGGACCCACAAGTACAATCATCAATCATCTGCAGGACACCAATTTCGAACAAAAACAATGAGCGAACTAATGCAAGAGCTAGGCTACACATTATTTCGGTCAAGCAGATTAATTGAGAAAGTTGGAAAAGTTGAACTATCATCGATTTCCATCAAATCAGCTCCAAGTTTTTTCGGTCAAGTTCATTAGCCAAACTATATCTGCAAAAGTTGGCCAGCAAGAGTCTAATCAATGCAAATCACTATTTTGGTCATATTGCTTGACCAAACTTTGAACAAAACCTGCAAAAATTAACCAACTACCATCAAATCAAGTCAGGTTACCAATTCGGTCAGAATTATTGATTGAAATATACCTATTTTATTGGGAAAATTCGTTGGACTTTTTTTTTTTTTTTTTGTATGATTCCGGCCAGTATGCTTGAACAAATAGGGTTTAGGGTGTTTTCAGTCAATATGCTTGACCGAACAAATCATGGCGCCAATTCCCCCCTTTATACTTTGGTGCAAATGATTGACTAAATTGGTTTTTAACCGAATTAATCATTTAGCATGGTTCTATACAGACAAACAATGCTTTTGGTTAGTAAATATGTTTGAAATAATTGTTTTTGGGTCAAGATTTTTGCTTGATTGAAATGCTCTATTCAAAATAAATAGTTTTCTAGTAGTGTAATTTCAATTATGCCTGATTTGCATCATTCCATTTTGGCCAATCCCTTCTTTGTAGGCATTCTTCAATGGATTTTGGTTCAAGATCCCCATTTTCATTGACTATATCATTTGTTATTGCAAATGCAAAAATATTGTCAATGGCAACATTATTCCAATTCCACTTTATCATAATGAAAATATAATTTATTGAGATTTCATCATTATCTACAATTTTTGTATCTTCATTGTTTTCAAGTACTTGAGCCTTTTTTAGGATTTTTTTTTCTTTAAATGTATTTTTTGGTTGTTGTTTAGAGAACTCTTGAGTCTCTACAATTTTAGGGGAGCCTAACATTTTGCTTTTGCTTTCTCTTTATTCTTGGATTTTTATCTTTAGAATCGACAGGTCTATCATGCTTTTAATGTAGGTTTAAGTACCATTTTAGTCCCTCAACTTTACACTTTGGTACCAAAATTGTCCCTTATCTTTAAAAAGTACCAAAATTATCCTTGAACTTTCATTTTTAGTACCAAAATAGTCCTTCCGTCAGTTAAATGACAGGTGTCACGTTAATTTGCCAGCAAATCACTTAACTTTTTAAATGTTAATGACGTGTAAATCCAACAAGGAAAACTCCCATTTTTTTAATCAGTTAATACATTAAAAAATGAAATTACTTAAATGCCCTCATCCTCATCCTCCAACCTTCCTTTCTTCTTTCTCCTGCATCTCCTCCAAGCTCCAAGCAAACCAGCAACTTCGAAAA